TTCCAAAAAATATAACTAATATAATAATTAATAATTAATTTTCCAGTAAGTCGTAAGTGTCGACTAAGGGATTCACTGTGTTTAAAAATATCGGGCAAAGACTTGCCAACCAATCTTAACCCCTTTTAAATATGCTAAAGTAACCTTCGATGATTTAGTGATCACACAGCTCCATCTACTTCCTCGGGGAATTCGGGCTTGAATTTTCTTTCTCACATAAATATTTTTACTGCCCAGGTGAGAATAGTATTATTCTCACCTGGGCCAGAAAGTCTCCTAAATAATTTAGTTATTGATAATTCGTCAAAACGCCGATAACAACCTATTTGATTTCGTACACCTAACTCTCATTAGGTTGAACCAAGCGAAACTGCGTTCGAAGAGTACTCGTACAATTGCGTGATGCAATGAACAACGAAGGAGATGCAGCTAATGGTGGTCGTTTGACTATTTGTTTGGTAGTATGCGTCATTATAAACATGATATGAGCAAGATGCAATGACATAAATGTTCATCATTACGGTGGGTGGAGGGTGGTCCAGATTTATTAACTGCTCCGCGGCATATTCTAAGATGGAATCGGTAGAACTCTGAAGGCATTGTTAATATAATTGAATTTGGCCACTGTTCATGAGAAATCTGACATTGTGGTAGCAGCAATCTGGAATAACGGCCATGTTGTTAGAAAAAAAATGTAGATATTAAGGTGTTTCGTAGGCGGAATGCTTTTACTGTCAAAATATTTGCTCCAAACAGTGACAGTTATTCCAAGATCGACTACTGCCGATCTATTAAGGGCTTGCGTCTTTTAATATATTTGTAGCGCCATGTAATGAATTTTCAGCTGGCAGCAAATATGACAGTTATCTACATTGCTGAACGAGCAATCTACAGAAGATTCCTCTAAACAATTGTTGACTATGGTAAAAGCTGTGTTCCTGTCGAACGGATAGCTTTCATTTCTTTCAAATTATTGAAAGCGGTACGAAGTACCTAAGAAGAAAGAAGTCAGCTTGTATCTAAATAATTAAAAATTCTGTATAAAAAAATATTGAATGTTCGCGAATAGACTGCTGCTCAGGTGAGATTTAAACATTACCAGGGAAATGCTTAAAATAAAAATAAATAAATAAATAATTAAAATAAAATATGTAAAAATATAATTGGTTAAATACAAAATTATGTTACTCGTTGTCGTCGATTATCAGTGCTTATGTTAACGTGATATTATTATGATCTTGTGTGTGGATTTTGGGAATAATTATTGTCTATAGGATAATTTTTTCATTACACAAACATATAAAATACTCATTACTTCTAAGTTGTCATTAGGGAAAGAGATTAAAAATTTGGTTCGTTTTTTAGAAACACACAAAACAATAAGTCCTTCGTCATCAATTTTGTTTTTAATTGACGCGGAGTAATGAACCATGGGGCGAAACAAACAAGACCTGTTCAGTTTTTTTTCTACCGATTCAATCGTATATATTTATTTCATTTTGGACGAAATCTGGATTAATGGCTGCCATAGATAATCTTTATATATATAATTCTTCTGTGAGTGTGTATGTCACTGAACTTCTCTTAAACGACTGGACCGATTTTGATGAAATTTTTTGTGTGTGTTCAAGGGGATCTGAGAATGGTTTAGATTCACAATTTTGTCCGCTGGACAACCCCTATTTTTTTAGGGCGGTACGAAGTTCGCTGGGTCAGCTAGTATATATATATATATATATTGAAATATTTTATAGAACCACTAGAAGTCATTTGTTAGAAAAAAATACCTATGTGCAGATATATGAGTAACTTTCTTATCTGCTACTTCTTCTATTTGTATACCTTATATTAATTTGAAATAGACGTTAAAATTATTTATATATTTATATGTGCATATAATAAAAGGCAACGTAAAGTAAGAGGATTGCACAAAAAGCACGGAAATTTTAGGGATTTCATTATAATTGTATATTGAAAAAATATATGCAACTGTGTCTTTGGACCTACTGATTGTTACCAACTACTGTGGTACGGCGGACTAAATCCGTCTATATTTTATCCCATTGCGTTAATCCTATAACTTTTTCTGGACGCGCAGACACGTCCTAAAATAATGGACTCATTTTTAGTCTACGATAAGCTGCGGTCACAATAATTGAGGTATGCCAGTCGACAGAACGCCGACCCGTGATCCTGTTATTAATTAGACTATGTTATATTTGCGGTACAGAATGCTGACCTGACGAAAGTTGGTACTATGGCATCGCAACATACGCACTTTTGACTTGACTTTGACTCAGCTTTTGACGCATAATATCTATTATTTTTTCATTGGCGTCACAGAATAGATGTTAACCTTTGTTTGTAGTATGTATTGCTTTTGGCAAACGGTTTATTATTGTTCCTTGAATTATTTAAAGAGTACAACCGTATTTTAAATTAACGGATTTCCAATAACATTATTTGGTAATTTAATATTATGAATTTCTTTACTATTTAAAAAGAGCGGGCGCTTTTAGTAGAAATGATGGTAGTCGATTTTATAAAAACATCTAAAGAAAATTTAACTAGAAGTATTTCACTTAAATAAATCTAGCAGTTTTATGTTTATATATATATATGACGACCTCTGTACCTCCGTGGCCGAGTGGTTTTTACGCCGGGTTGGGCAGATGTTTGTGTGATGAATACGAGCATTTGTACTCCAGTCATGGATGTTAAATATGTATTTCTATATAAATATACTTATATATGTACTGTATATGTATTCTTTCCGTTGCCCTAGTATCCCATAACATATGCCTCACAGTGCTTACTTTGGGGCTAGGCTAATTGGTCTGAGTGTTGGAAATATTTATTTATTATTTATTTTATATAAAATTATAAAAACATTATTGAGAAATTGGACTAAACTATAAATACTCTTTCAGTTTTCTCCTTACAAACAAAAGTGACAGTATGCTTTTTAGACGGTGTTGTGTGTTGTAGACACAACAAACGAATCAGAAGTCGCTATTTTTCATAGATATAAATAAGTATCAATATAAATATTAGTAATAGTTAACCAAAATGTAACAGATATGTATAAGAAGATAGCAGTCAAAGAGCCTAACACGTAAAGATACCAAAATAAGAAACGATAAAGTAATAAACATGTATAAATGGTGATTCAGTAGTTTAAATTGTCACAGTTATTGTAACTAAAAATTTAAATCACAAATGTATTTACTTACTATAAATTTGTTATGGTTATTCAAATGCATTTGTTATTTTATGTTTTCAAGAACTGTGATCACAAAGTGATACATTATTGAACCACTATTGAGACACAATTTTTACATTAGCTTAGCAGAATCGACACCCTGGAACTTTACTTACCACAACAGAAAGACAAGACTGCCAAAAGGCAGTGTATTCCGCTTTAGTTTAACCTAAACTATTTTGCGCCTAAAGGTAAACTTCCTTAGAACAGCGCTCGAAATCGAGTGGATAGTCTTCTGCCTTACCTCTCTTATTAAACAATGGAGATAGAATAACCGTTTGCCTGCCGTAGGTTATACCAGCTACATTCATGAGAATAGAAGCTACAGAAGCCAAGATAGCATCTAACTGCCCATTAGTAAGATAAATGTGCTCTAAGATATACCTACATTCACATGACTTTACGACCGAGCATAATTTCCTATTGCGTTACGATAACACTAGGTATGCAATTGCTGTAAGTACTGAAATAACTTTACAATAATAAATCGCTAAGATCAGCGATTTGTTAAAGGACTAGTGGGTGCCCGCGACTTCGTCTGCTTGGAAATATTGATTACCATACAAACTAAGAACCCCCGTTTTAGCTCTAAGTATATATAAATAAATAAAATAAAATTCATTCATTTCGAGCAACATAACTCATAATCAATTACAATAGAGAATAATAATAATTTATTTAATTTAAAATTAATTCAAAGCAGTAGTTATTTAATTTAATATAATAATTTAGGTTCCTTAAGGACAGAGTTTTTGACAATCCTCTCCATCCATTCTCAGCGCACGCCTACGTCATAATAGGTATATGTGTGCCAAATTTCAGCTCAGACAGAGATCAGATAGTGTCTGATAGATCAGACAGTATCGGTTGCCTTTTAAATATACAGAATTGCAGAGTCATGCATATGACTGAACTTTAAACGAAAGAAAAGATACCTGTCTGGTTGTTTTCTTTTCTCTGCGGTTAGTCAAATCCTATCAATGAAATATTGGAAAACTCTTTACAGAATATCTGTTACTATTTAGATACCACCAATAAAGACAAAAATCAGAATGCCGACGATCGATTGTAAAATATCCTCCTTTTAGATATTGGTTAGAAATTAATGCCATTACAAGCGAGCGTCCGCGAGGCTTTTGAAGTGATAATTAAACATAATAAATTTATAAATATATCGTGTGAATTTATGCAGGTGTAGTGATTATCTAGATATCTTACATATACCTAGCTATTTGCCATGTTGTAAAATAACATTAGATGCTAATTTAGATTTCAGCTTAAGTACACTAGCGTGTTGAGCGGAAATGGGTTTTACGTCACGTCCATGATAGCATCTAATCGCACAACAAACATACGAGAGTTTTATTCAATGTCATGGTAACGTAGCTTTGTGTTTGAGAACACGGCAAGATTGTAGCCGAAACAACGTTGCAAATGAATTGTTGGAAACGAGATTAGGTACGACTATGTACATACAATCATGACTTTGCATCTTATTTTTTTTAATAGGTTAATGTAGTAGCATTAAACGATGAAAAATTTACTAGTTCGTCATGAAACCTTAAGGATAAAAACATAGAATTAAGCAAATATAATTAAAGAAGACAATGTGTCAATTTTAGCAGCATTAATCATAACTAACTATAGGTGAAAGGATAAATGTTAGATTAAAAGTCTCGAATAGCTGACGACATTTATTCTTATTACTTGTCGTCATCAGAAATGAATGTATTGTGATTTAAAAAGCATCAAAGTTTTTTCCAATGCTCTCCCCTTTGTACATTGCTACCAATGTAGCCGTCAGCTCTTTAAATCCATTAGTAATCGTGTCCTTTGCTTTTATGGAACCTTTTTGAATCCATTCCCTGAGTATGTACGGTGCAGCGATCTGTTTCGGCCATTTCCATTGTGCGAAACTAAACGTTTCTCCGTAGACAGACACTCGCGTGTTTGGTTTCGTGTTCAGCGTCAAGTCTCCCCCGTAAGTGCTAATAGCTCCGCAGATTGCTACTCGTCCGTTCTCATTCATGCATTCCATTATCAGAAATGAGAAAGCTCCTCCGACATTGTCGAAAAATATATTGATGCCTTTAGGAGTGATCGACATTAAATTATCTTTAACTGCTGTGATTCGCTTGCAATTGAAAGCGTGATCTAAGCACAGTATTCGCTTCAGAAAAATACCCGTACGATCACTCCCAGTGAAACCGATTATCACACATCTCATAAGCTTGGCTATCTGTCCTACCATAGAGCCGTCTGCACCTGCTACTTTTGTTATAATAAACTATTTCGCCGTGTTTAGACTTACAAATTTCCAGCAGGCTCAAGTAAGCCGTAATTCCTGGCATGCCGAGAGCTCCGACAGACAAAGACAGTGGCAAATTTCCAATTTCAGGCTTATAAGGCCTCATGCCAAATATTTCGTCCTCGCGACCGTCTAAGACGGTGTAATCACGCCAACCAGACTGTGACACTACGTACGTATCGACCAGAAATTCAGAGTTCTTGCTTTCAATTACTTTTCCTACTTGAAAGCCGAATTGATCATAAGGAACTTCTATATCGTGGGCAAAAGAGCGCATGTAAGGAACGACACCAATGTACACCCCGCTTTAACTAGAAATTGGCCCATTTTTAATGGTGATATATTTTCTGTTACGATTTTGAAATCGGCTTCAGAAGGAATCCATCGAAGATCTTTTTCACGATAAACTTCCGAAGGTTCATAATTACTGTGTTTTGTAGCCACAAATGATATAAATCACCACGACCAGATACCAAAAAAAAATCTGATTAAAATTTTGGTATGCTTCGACTGAGTGGCACCACGTTCCGGTAGATCCGACGGCTCACTGACTGACAGCTCGAACGCGTCACTACGATATGTCAAACAAACCGAAAAAAATCAATAACGGGAAACCGGCTTCTTGCGTTATTTTATCAAAATTCTGTAATGTTAGTATAGGTTTATTTGTTTATTAGGTTTTCACGTACACCGGTGTGCGCTAAGTGTTTTTCCGTTTTAACGGTATAGATGTATTGATTTATTAATTTACTGTCGTTTCGCATTTCGCGTATATAATTCTGACGACGTAGCCTGAAAAGGATGCGAAACGTCAATAATTAATAAATCAGTGCATCGATACCGTTGAAACTTGTTTTATTTAGTACCTATTGGCTGTTTCTGTTAATATTTATGCATGGAAAATCAAAAAAATACACTAAACATAAACTATGTAAATACTCATACAAAAAATATGGTGTTTATGAAAGTTTGTTTATGTAAGGTTAATCCTGTTGTTTTGTTTATCTCAAGTTATTCGCTAAGTGTAAACAATTCGAGTTTCTTTATTTTACTTACTTTTGTTGTTTGTTCTTTTAATTAAAAATTTCGGGATTAGGCACCCGTTTAGATCTCAATTATTTTGTCAGCGAAGTCGACAACCCCGCATATTATATTCATAATATTAAACTTGCCTCGTATTCCCATTTACGTTTTAGAAAGGATAAATGTTAATTTACCCGCTGCCCCTAAAAAGATCTACAATTTTAGGAATGAGGTATAGCCACGCAACTCGTCCTGGGATTTAGCTCGGGCCTCTGTTTGGGTAGTGTCTGATGAATATGATAACACGTCATGTTACAACAGGGTAGCATAATTCAGTAGTTCCTTATTGTAATACAAGTGATCCTCGGCTGCGAGCGTGTATATCAATCATTCATTTATTTATATTTCACTTTAATACTAAAAATGTTTATGTTAGTTTTTTCGGTTTTTACTTGCATTTAAGTGAGTGATCCAATGAAGTGATCGCAAAATTCTTCTGATGTAGATAAAAGTTATGGTTTTTTTTTTTATTATTTACAAGTGTGTGACAAACGGAACCTTATCAATATACTTTAATTGGCTATCTGTCGGTCACAGACTGAGATAGAGATCTCTTGATCCGAAATAGGTAGATGTATGTTTCACCAAATGTGTGTAACTGTGGCTATTAGAATAAAAAAATAATTTCAAAATTAACTTCGTTATTGAGTCAGATTCGCACGTGGCCAGTTTTAATTATCTCTACAAATTATGCCCTTTACTCGAACCCTTTCATTGATCGAGCGACTATTAACATTTTAGATTCGAATTTTTTAATCAGCACAAAATTAGATAGGTGTATAAATTAATAAAGTAAGCCGATGAAAGGGTAAATTGGCGAATAACAGAAGAAGGCAAAAACTGCAACTGATGAAGTAAGTCATCGCATTAATTAAACTACACAGATGCGAGAAGTGTTTCCACCATTTCCCCATTTGCAACGGTTGTATTAAAAATATTCAATTCCCGCTAAATTTAATTTCTTTATATTTTTCTTAGATTCAAAACAAGATGTAGAAATATCTCATTGTTAAAGTTACGGGTTCGAGGTGATTTAAAAATTTCCAGTAGGTAGTATTTTATTATTTACAATTTTCTGTAATCCAACGTCGGCAACCCTAATTGCTTTTGATCTTCATAAATGTTAGATTACTTCCGATACACTGCGCCGTTTAACCGATTAACACCCCGTATCTATACTTATAGTTCATCCTTATTACATCATGCGTGGGGCGCTTGGAACATACCTAAGTAGATATTTTGGGTCTCACGTTATATTTAGGGTATGTTACTGACCTCGTATATTTAATAAAACTTATGAGTATAAGTTATTGTGCAAATTTTCATGAAACGAGGGTAAAGCGAATATTCGCTCGAATCGGAGCAGCCTCTGGGAAAGTAACCTCTACCAACACAAAGAAATAACAGTGTAGTGTTGTGTTTCTGTTGGTGAGTACAGTACCCTTAGCACGAACCAAAATTGAATTCGTATCGTTTGCGAGTCCAAAATGACATTGTCAAATCTGTACTGATTTTTAGTTCTCGTTACGTACTTTGTGCCGCTGCTGTTCAAGTTTCCATATAAAATTTGACATTGACATTTAGGTTTGCAATAGTTTGCGAGTCCGTAGTGTCATTGTCAAATTTTGTATGGAAACTTGAACAGCAGCACCATAACGGATAAGTAATAAGTAAAATAAAATTTATTGCATGATTTCAAAAGAATTAAATTTCAAATTGAGCAATTAATGTGATTAAATAGTACTAATAATTAACTGTTTGGTCGTTGGAGTCGTCGTCTTGATAAGGTCGTAGAAGTCGCAGTTGAAGTCGGTGGAACGAAACTTGGCAGTCACCGCCGTCCTGTCTTGTAGTCCATCGTCATCTTTTTTCCTGTCAGTACTGTCATAATGTCCGTCTGTCATCTGTGGGCTAGTCAGTCAGTCCAAGGAGGCTGGACGCCGCGACATTAATATTATCAACCGTTCAGTCTTATCGGTTTACCGATTTAGATGTTTGAGGATATGTACTTCGTCAACCAAGAACTAGAGAGTCCATCCTATCAGACTATGGTGTCTGGTTACAAACAGGCATACCATATAGTCTTTTCCATCTAAGCCACCTATTTTTCATAAATAAACCGGAAAGAAACTTATCTCCTTAGAAACTTTGCTATATTGTCTCGTCGAAGAGGTCATGGTTGTTATATCTGATCTTTATATCACAAGTGCTTTGGAAACTTACCTTGTTAGCTTATCAGCGTACCAAAGCTTAGGATTGGGATTGGTTTGTAATCGGGTTAGTGTCAGCTTTCAAGTTAGCTTTCACGCTTTCAGTAAATTTTATTATTTGTGTGATAAATTCCTTAACAGACCATTATTAACCCAAAATATTATAAAAATGTTCGATGATGTAAATGGTAAGCGTGTTCGGTCTGCTATCGTTAATCGAGAAGTTACGCAACTTTCGCAATGACCGGTCATCGGTCGGGTAATCTAAAATTTGTTAACTTAAGCTCCTTCGTCCTTCGGAAGGCACGTTAAGTATGCATCTGCAGTCGTTAGCACTTACCAATTCGCACTGAACCCGTCTCGTGGGTTATGGCCTAATCTCCCTATTCCATTCGCAGGGAAGGCCTGTGCCCCAGCAATGGGGACAATTAAGCTGATGTGTTATTTTACACTTAGTACATGGTGAGTATAAGGTATATTGGCTTTCGCCAGTAACTGAAGTTGAGTACAGAATCCATTACCGAAAAAGTCTTAATACAAAGAAAATGGCGACAGTGTTATTGTCATCTAGTATGTGTACTAACACATTCGACATAAACTTCACCCATGTAAATGATCTGGGAGCATTACGCTCACACCGTCTGCTTAAAGTAGGCAGATAAGTGACGTAGTTCAATCCGTGGAGGTTATTTCCTCCCACATAAATCATGGGAGTGAGAGATAGAAAAAGACGGGTGTCGCAGTGGGACCGTTACGTATCCGCGGCATAATATCATCTTATGTTTATGTTGGGGATATGTCAAATATTCAACAGAAGTGTGTGAGGCATTTACGGTACGAGGCATCCACTACGCGCCACATGTGTCGCTAAGTGGACAACGTCAAGTTAGGCGAAGTTTTTAACAAACATGAGCCTTTAAATTTGGAGATCCAATGCCTTGTCGTTTATTGAATAAATAATAATGTCATTAGGCACATTATTATTTAATCAATAAACGCCTACTTAAATAATGTATATTTTCCAAAATAAAAAATATTTCACTCCCAGTGCCACCGTCGTGTTTATCAAAACTTACAAGTCCATACACGTTCACAAGTTATACTGTACAAGGAGGTTTTTAAAAGTTCTTGTAAATAACGTTCATCAATAAAAAACCGGACAAGTGCGAGTCGGGCTCACCTACCGAGGGTTCCGTATAAAACAGGTACGCAACATAGCGGCCGTATATTTTATTTACTTACCTTAGAATTTTGATTTGTCATAGCTTTAAAGGAACGTAAACCTCAGTATTTAAAACGAGATAGATACCTCTAAGAGTTCCTGAGATAAAGGATCTTGACAGACCAGACAGACAACAAAGTGATCCTATGAGGGTTCCGTTTTTTCCTTTTGAGGGACGGTACCCTAAAAACAACACACACAAGAGCCGACTCTTGAAACAGTTGTTATCGAAAGGGAATGTTATAACTCCATTTTGTTTAATACAAGGTATCTATTGTACTAAATAACGTTTAATCTTGATAATGAAAAAAGTCTAATTAACCGCGCCAAACTCAAATCTTGCCGTAAACAAAAGGGAAAAAACGGAAAAGCCACGAATGAATAATTCCAAAGGCAACTACGTCAAATCAGTGGCGGGTGCGCTGAAAAAAAGGTGGTAAAACGTCGGAAGACCGCCCGGTGAAAAACTGATGGAAACCGGTTGGGGCCAGTGCCAAGTTTCCAAGTTGCGCCGTTAAGGGATGACTGAGCTCTTTCCTCGCGGAATAAAGCCGAGAAGATGGGCGTGGATGAGGCACAAATTGGACTTTATGATCGCACTTAAGAATTTTAGTCAGATAAACATCCGGGAAACGTGAACTTTCATTAAGCTTCCATAAATGACACTTAGAATCTGTAAAAAAAAAACAAACCGGCAAGCCGTTTTACAAAGCAAATATTGAATAATGTTATTTAATAATTACCTAATTTAAACATTCGACGCTGTCGATGTTGTTGTAGAATAATATTTTATGAAGAAAATTGTTTAGTATATCAGCTCTAGGGTCATTTTTATGGAAGACAAATTTTAAATTTCAGTTTGCATTTAAAATAAAGATGATCTCTTCGTAGAATTGAAGCTAACTGTAATTTATTCATGAAAGGTTGACTCATGACTTCAGGTAAATAATAGGTATTATAAATCAATAGATGTAAGTAAGCATACATAATTCTGCCTCTACCATCCCGCTGGGGATCTGGCGATTAATCACTTAGCTTCTACTCACGCGTTCGTATAAGTAGACTCGACAATAATACTTGAGGGATCTGTAAGGCTACACTGTAAGAAAAAAACATTTTGGTGATAACAGCCATGATACTTGCTTAGCAAATAACCACAGTAAACATTAAATAAAACTAGTTTTTCACGGGCTAATGCACGAAACTTTATAAATATTTATTTTTATTATTTATATATTTTTTTTTTATTTAATTTTGTCTTAAAAAAAAAATCCGACTACGCAACCTGTGAAGGCTGCGAAACGTCAATAAATAAATAAAGTTTCGTGCATTAACCCGTGAAAAACTAGTTTTATTTAATGAGTGATGTGCGTGAAAACCTAAGAAACAATCACAGTGAACATATTATATAGAGAGCAACACAAAAATGTACGCGTCGCGACTTGCATTTCATCTTGTCTTTCATTCCGTTTCAAGGTGTCGCCTACTCGAGAGGTTCAGGGTTCGAATCCCGGTGGGGACTCCAGTCTTGGATGTTTAATATGAATTTCTATATAAATATAGTTAGATTTATATCAGTACATGTATTCTATTCATTACCCCAGTATCCCATAACACAAGCCTACAGTGCTTTCTTTGGGGCTAGGCTAATTGGTGTATGTGGAAAAAAACAGCTTGGTACTTAGCTAGATTCATTGTTAATCCTACCTGAACAAAAAGTGAGACAAACGAGCAAACAATCATACTTTCGCATTACCGATAGGAGGTACAATTTATAAATAAACAATATTTATATACGCAGTAGATTGGAACGATTGTCGGATATCCAAGGACGGAGCCGGGTGGGCTCCCGCATCGGAGATTTTCCGACGGCCTAGTTTTCCCGCTTCGGCGAATGCGGATCTTTTGTCTGTTCGAGTGGCTTTTACCTGAACTAGATATTTAGATAGTACTCTTTCAATGTTTTTCTATATCAACCGATTGATATTATATACTTACCTGCTCAAAGTTTTGGAGTAGGTAGTAGCTTTTAGGCGAGTGTATTTTGCTTTGAACTTTTTTTCTCGATGGTGAATTAGTTGTTTCATTTTGGGATTAGTTTTTATAGAATTCATCATCTGTTAGTGTATTACCAAGTTGTTGTGATACTGTATTTTGCAGTATTAGTTTGTTGTTAGGGTTCCGTAGCCAACGTTAACGAAACCCCATTACTATGGATTCGTCAAAATGATAAAGAGTAAAAATTTAAATTAAAGGGAAACACATGCAAGGGACGAGCTCGATGGCGCAGGTAGTTGGCGCGTTCGGCTGCGATCGTTGAAGTTAAGCAACTTTCGCAGTGGTCGGTCAGTGGACGGGTGACCAAAAATCTCTTATCTCGAGTTCCGGCTGCATCTGCAGTCGTTAGCACCCACCAGTCCGCACTGTGCCCGCGTGGTGGGTCAGGGCCCAATCTCCCTATTCCATCCATTGGGAAGGCCTGTGCCCCAGCAGTGGGGACATTAATAGGCTGATAATGATGATGACATGCAAGATGTTCTTTTATGTTATAAACCTACCCTATATTTAAAATGTGAAACCTTGTCTGCGCCTTAATCGTTTTTTCATGGTTTCCAGTCGAGATAAATTTAATCTAATCCGCACTTTTCCTTGTTACAGCTGCCGAGAAATGAAACGGAAACGGTGTAACACGTCAGGCGTCGCATAGTGGCATTCCGTTCTCGCCATGCCCTCCGACGACGTCGCCACCATGCGCTACGTGCTCCTCTGTCTGCTGTCACTAACCTTCAACAGGAACCTTGCATTCGTCCTCGACAAGCAGAACCCATACTCGCAGTTTCGCAAGTGGAACGCCGGCCTGAATGGCACGCTCGAGTTGGAATTCAAAACGGACCAACCCAACGGTCTGCTGTTGTACACCGACGACGGTGGCACTTACGACTTTTTCGAGTTGAAACTAGTGAATGGTGTGTTGCGACTGCGATACAATTTGGGCGGCGGTGCTCAGATCATAACGGTCGGTAGTAATCTCAACGATGGACATTGGCACAAAGTTCAGGTATGTTTGTTTGTTTGTTTCTTTCGTGCGTCCTTCCTTATGACCGCTTAACTTTAGTGTGTCTTTAGCCACCTTATTAATAATGGAAGTCGTGTTTGGTTAAAATAACTTAAATGACATCTGTAAAATGGTTAAAAGAGATAAAACACTGCTTAAGCGAAGCGAACATATTTCTTGTTTCTTAATTCTAATAATTCAATTTATTTAAGGTTACATAGACTTGTAGTAAATAATAAGGAGTAGATGTTTTAAAAGTGTGTAAAATTAAATGTTCTTAATTATCCTTCTAATGTTAGAACCGCTTAAGAGATAATTGTAGTATTCGATCACGAGGCATCACCTATACGTGATGACCCACTTGTGTTTCGACATTGATTGAATGATATAATTAATGAAATGATTAGTGTGTAAGGACCTAAATTCGTAAATGGGAAATCAAACTATTAGGGGGATCTTCGGAATATTCAATTTCACTATTAGGGGATATTCGGGAAGCTATATTTATAGGTACACCAAAATAAGGTCAGCCTATTTTATTTGATTTCACTAACACTTAAGTTACAAACTTGATCTTTTTTTATTGGCGCTATTATGGTAAGTTTTACGAAAAACATCTTATTTACACCCAAAGCTTTTGATTGCAAATATCAATAGCAGAAATAATCTTCTATGAAATATCACATTCTTTGAAAAATGTTCTCTTTAGCTTTAGCCTATTCTGAGGATGAAGATCTTAGATCATCGCAGTAAGTTATGTCTTGTAATAACTGTCTTCCTTAACTGAAACACAAATAAAATTACTTTTGATAAAGTTGTTGAGTAACGACACGGTTTTATGTAAATGCTTCTGTAAAATGCTGATGATTTTTTTTGCGCCCATTCTTCTTATCAGCTCAAAGATGTTCTGATAGACTAAAACGGTTGAGCTATCTGTACAATTGAGCAATGAAATACAATTTGAATAATATGTATACAGTATATAAGGGGCGGGGTAGCATAATTGGTCAGTGCATTCGCCCGGATTGCGAAGGGTGCGGGTTCGAGTTCCCTCCGCTGCCTGGTGCGCGTGGATTTTTTTCTAGTAAAACTTTTCTTTAGAAATATTGTAAGTACTTAGATAGTTTTTTAATAACATTCACACTGTGTAAGCACCTGGGGACAGTTGTTTTTTTGTCCCCATTCTTGCACGAGAGTATCACCCTTATTATTTATTATTATTATATGTATAGGATTCTTTTTGCGGTGCAGGTGGCTCGGCGGGACGAACACACGTCACTCATGGTGGACGGCGTCACCCAGAGCAAGACTTCCCGCGGCAAAGAGTTCGCATTCGGCAAATTCAACACCAATTCTGATGTGTTCGTGGGCGGGATACCACCCTCGTGAGTAACTTTTAACACTTTTAACGGTAATACTTATGTGCATATTAAAATTGCCTCTATTACCTTGTAATAAGAAGAATATTCGTTGAGTAAATGACCTTGGCTTTAGGCGGTGATTCCATTAGGAGTCAAAGGTTTTTGTTTTGATTTTCTATGAAGCTATATAACGAGGTACTTTTATAAAATCAAAGTGGTTTGTAAGCTTAATCAACTATATTTGAACATTGAGTTGAGAAAAATAATAATCAGAGGAAACCAAGTATACTCTTTATTTTTTAATGTTTGTTTATATAATATTTGCTTTGTATAGTTTAGCTGCCTTAGTTCGCCATTTTGTTTGTTTATTCTAGAAACTAAAAACTAAATTATTATGAATTACTTATCTTTCTCTTGTGCACGGAAACTTATATATAAATTTTAAATTCTTATTTATACGTTATGATGACACACAGTCTCTTTAGGCCATGTGGTATGGCCCATTAAAAAAAACAATACTTTTTAATGGTACATACTACTGAGCGACGTGTCCCTGGTCACTGTATGGAATTTGGGGCTCACTGCCTCCCCTCCCTTGCCCCGCAAACCCCGCACGATTGCTCTGTCTAGACGTGTTCGTTGGCCTACTTTATAGACTGTGCTGCAACTGTAGCTGCTGCTGTGAGGTCGTCTTCTGAATTAATTCATAGAACTTAAAATAACAGCTATTATAGTAACTTATGTAAGTTGTGGCCTTATAAAGGGCCAACGGTTACAAAGAACTTTTTTTCCAGTAAGTTGCAAGTTGTCCAAACTTTAATTAACTCTATTATTTTCAGTAGAAAGATAAATCAGTTAAGGTCACGCCAGGAGGGGAGTAGGCATACACAGTTTTCCCCTCTATCGAGTTGGGTATACAAACGATACATGTGTGCAAGATTTGGCGAAGTAAATATAGACATGCACAGAGAGAAAACTTCTATAGACTGGACGAAATTTTCCTTTGTACACAGGAAGATGAATTAAAACGTTTCAAATATATTTTGACTAAGTGGTTATGCATGTCATAATAGATTTTTGGTTGCGTTGTTTTTTTAAATAATTACCATGGAAATAAATACACACATCAAAAGTGTCTAGGGATCAAGCATTTTTATGCGGATTTCTTGAGATTGAGATGTGGCTTTGTAATAAATTTATGATTTTATAAATTTATATGGATCCTTTTTGGTGCATTTCATAATTTGAATCAGGAACTGTGAATCAAATTCGAGTAAAAGATGAAAATCAGCTGTCAATATTTTCCCTATAAAAACATACAACGCATTGAAGACATTATTAGTGCTACTGTTTCCCTACTACTGATTAAAACCAACGTTATTATGGAGCGGCGACGTCATTTAAGCAGGGAAGAAATGCTCAGAGCCGTGGGAATGATAGAAGCTGGTTCCCGGCAACGTACTGTGGCTTTAGCTCTGAATACAAGTCAGAGTGTTATCAGTCGACTTTGGACACGATACCGAAGCACTGGTACCGTGGCTGAGCGCCATGGAGGACGGTATCGCTGCACCACACGGAGACAAGACCGATACATTCAAATCTTAACTCGAAGAGCTCCAACAATAACCGCCATGATGTTAGCCGTGAGGCTTCATCACTCTTCAGGGAACTTAATTAGCGACCAAACAGTCAGAAACCGCTTGCATGAAGTGAACCTTCATTCCCGAAGACCGCTACGGGTACCACCTATAGCAATGCACAATCGTAGGATTCGATATCAATGGGCTCTTGAACACAGAAATTGGGCAGAAGAACAATGGCGTTTCGTGTGCTTTTCTGATGAGTCTCGTTTTGGTATGAGACCGGATACAAGACGTATACGACACTGGAGAACCCCTGGACGCCAACAGCGATTAAAATCCTGCCAGGAAGTCCATCCTTATAGTGGTGGAACCATCATGGTATGGGCGGGTATTTGGATCGGCGGAAGAACTGAGTTGATTTGGATCAGAGGCAACCTCAACGCTCAAATTTATGCTGAGACGATTGTATCAGACGTCATCGTTCCTCTACAAGTGCAAATCGGTCCCTTATTTCAGTTAATGCATGATAATGCACGACCGCACACCGCAAGAGTTGTAAGACAGACTCTCGCCGCAGCTAACATCAATGTCCTGCCCTGGCCTGCTCAGTCGCCAGACTTGAACCCGATTGAGCATGCATGGGATATGCTACAGAGAAGAGCTCTGCCGAATATGGAGGGTATCCAGTCGCAAGAAGACCTTTTTTTGTTGTTGCAACGAACATGGGCGGCCATTCCACAGCGTGATTTGGATGAACTCATTTTGAGTATGCCAAACCGATGTTCTTGTGTTGTTAGTGTTCGCGGTAGAAATACGGATTATTAATTGTTTAAGTTACCCAATAAAATTTTAGAGAAAACTGTTATTTCAGTCTTTTTTTCGAACTTTTGTGTTAGTGGTTCAAATGTCAAAAATCCCTTTATTAGGAAAATGGCAAATTTCTTTATTAATGCAAAGGTGACTTGGTTTATCGTTACTGTGACAAACGAAAACACTTTATTTGATGAATCCTTAAAGAAAATTTTAATTAATATCAATCAGGAGAAAAGTTATTGCAAAAATATATGTTGATCCCTAGACACTTTTGATGTGTGTAGTTATTTTTTTTGGGTTGGTAAAAGAATTACGATTCTTTATTTTTTTGCGTACTCACTGTTTTACGAGATATGTAGGTAAATAGTAGCCTACCTATCCTGCGCAATTAAAAAAATGACAATTATTCACTATCAATAACATGACCTAAGAAAATATTTCTTTCGATGTTGAAGATTATATAAAAGGTACACTATCTATCTATGCAGGTATTAAACAAATAAAAAAAAACTTAAATATTACATAGCAAAGTTACTATTTACATAAATTTGTAAAATCCTTATGGTAATTAAAAAATATATGTAGATTATTATATTTATATTTTGAAGTATCTGAAGAATATTTTATTAGAAAGAATTTTTAACTAGTAATATTTTCCTTATTTAAGTTATCAGTTCCTTTATTTTTCATATGCACAGTACAACAAACCATAATAATGTATTTTTTTAAAACACTGTTTTATTATTATTACAAAACGTGAAATGAAAACAAATACGACGTGAGTTTTCTACGAGCCATGCACTTGAGCACTGGCAATGACGTGACACTGACGTGAGACTGCGTACGTGACAGGCAGCCAGTGCTCACTCACACACGAGCGTCTTGCTTGTGGTAGTGAAACTATCGCAGCGCGGTTATATGAAGCTTTGTCTCTATACGTCTTTTTACTCATGTGGTATTGTGTCATTGTTTATGTGTAAGTATTGTAGTTTGATTTTATATACGTGTAAGTTAAACTGCGTTTCCCCCGCAAAAAATGGCAGAACCATTTGAATAGTATTATGTCGCTATGGCTTCTCCCTTTCATGTTGCTCTATGTTCAAATATCAAGTACTACTGTACTGAAAACATTAATTACGTTCTACAGATTTAAGCATTCCCCCAATAGGCGCGTTATTATCAATCGATTAATATATATATATATATATATATATATATATATGTATATATATATTTCGTATTAACGGATGCGTTATTGCGATATGTGTTTTTATATTTTTTTATACCCGTTGTTGGCTCTGGCAATTTTAATTGGAATGCTAGGGGAGATCTTTAGCTTGCGACAGCTGCGGATCGTAATATAGCTAATCCCTTTTGAAAAAAATATGATATAAATGATGCATAAAAAAAGCAGCTATTACAAAATTACTTGATGGAGGAGTGTGATTATAATTTTCCTGCGTTATCATGAATAATAAAGTATGGTGGTTTATTTGTATATTTCTGAATCCTCGTTTATCATTAGTCATAACAGTACATGGGTATATAACTAATCTAATCCACGGCTATTTGCCATAGAACATGAAAGGATTCATCTTGTTAAACTATACATTAAATTGTGCTCATCAATAGCTGAACTTAAAATCTTAAATTCCTTTTTCCCCTGTCTTCAACGCTTCTCCCCTACACTAGGTATTAAGTCCACAGATTTGATCAAAATATTCAGTTACGTTTGTTATACATTGTAATCACCTAAGAAAAATTCGTTTCGAACCTATATAAACTAAGTAGATCGAGCCAGATGTTTAAAAAGCCGTTAACAGTCACATCGATTTAATTGTATTGTGCGAGGGATACACTCAGTTTTATCTAGATGGCAATAAAATTGTTGTTTAATGTATGTCACGCACTGTTTTTATTGATATTCAAGGCGTTTATCCATTTCATTCGTACAGGTCACAGCCGGCTATTAGCTGTGCATACGTGAGGAGGATATGAAACACCCAACTGTTGGAATAAGGAGTTTCTCCCTAAAAAGTAGCAATTGGGTTTTGTCCTTGATATTTTCGAGTTTGTGTCCCCTATCCAACCTAATGTACTTTTCTAACGTGAAACGGTTTGAGAAAGTTTTTCCTTTTAGACATTTCGAGTGAGCCAAGTGCGGTGCGTACGTGCTTATAGGTATGTATTCAAACCGGTGTAGGTTGCGGGAAGCCGATGGATCCGAGTGACGCAAGACCCATCAATGCGTTGATCCTTGGGGGAGTCCTATGCTTAGCAGTGGGCATCGTACGGCTGATATGATGATGATGATGAAATGGTCAAAAACACAATAGGAAGAAATTATGAGAACTCAGGGAGAGAGAGTGTTTTTACATTGACTCCGTTATTGGTGCACGTTCCTTAGAGGTATCTACGAAAGGCTCTGTTCTATGTTAATGTAGAAAAGATAAACTTTCTGTAGTATATCAATGCTAATAATGGGGAACTACTGTTTTGTAATTGCATGAAGCATTTGGTATGTACCAAATAAATTGCAACGTTACATTGGCTATTGTTGGCATTTTGTCGCCTATTTATACAATCAATACATTTTACATTACAAAATACAATCGCAGTACTAGGATA